CAAATGTAGATGTATAGTCACCCAACCGCGTTCCCCTATTTTCTAAGTGTCCAACCTATCAGAGGTCACACGCGGCAACATCCGATTGGTTGTGACTTTTCAAATTCCCGCTCAACAGGAAGATGAAATCCCTACCATACACATGTCGCGTGATAGGCTCACCTTGGGATTTGCAATCTTCCATTTCCCTCTCAAAGTCTACGAAACCCTACATTACACACGTCTCATTCTCTTGGCACCACCAAATCGCACTCAGACAAAACTTACCTCGCTTGGACAAGTTGACTCGAGCTCTAGTCCTTGAAGTGTTAAAATCTTTCATACAAAAGTTCATAAGCAGACGACACTCGCATTCAGCTTGGTAGGTCGAGTAAGGACATCTACAAAGGATATACCTTGCAACATCTCACTTGGCACGGTTAGTCGAATGAGGACATCTACAAAGGATGCATTGGCATCCTACCACTCGGCTCGGTTAGCTGAGTGGGGACATCTACAAAGGTGCATTTCGCATCCTACCACTCAGCTTGTTCAGCCGAGTAGGGACATCTAAAAAGGACCACCTTCATTCCTCAAGATAGAACACCTTCACTCAGTCGAGGGCACCGACCTCTATTTAGAACACCGTCTCCGGCCTAATTGACCTCTATTTAGACTGATTACTCTCGAAGCTAAGTACTCCTTAGCTTAGAGAGTGGGGGGCTAAATGTATGGGCCAAAAATCATCTTGGGCCTGATAAACAGGTAATTTCTACTATGTAAGTCCAAGGTCGTGGCCCAATTCTGATTGGGCCTATGTCAGAATTCATGTCATGGGCCAAACACAAGGCCTAAACCCAACTTCTCTTCAGATTGGGTATCGCCATTAGCCTACCTAGAGCTAGGCCCATTGGTCCATGATGGCCTCTGAAGGGTCAAAATCTCACTAAAAGCCCTAATACACCTGTTTCCTATTTGGGTTTTATCCTAATTCGCCCAAGATTCTGTATCTTATGTGAATTAGGACTTTTAATCCTATTGAGGCAAGTAAATCAGGATCTTTCCTATTCACTAAATCTCTACCATTATGGACTCAAAGTCCTACTAGGATACGAAGATCCTACGACTACTATATAAATAGAGGTCACGCCTCCCATTAGGCATTCAGTTTCAATACCACTTACTTTCTCCCAAGCTTTTACTCCTAAGAGTTATACACCTACGTCGTAGTTTTAGTCTTCGACTAAACTTTCAATAACCCTTCCTTCCTTTAGCTCTCACTAAATTGCCTTATTCAGCCTTATTGACTTGAGCGTTAGAGTGCCTACGACAGACACCACATGTATTGGTATTCACATAAGCTTCACGGTTGTTTGCTTTGTGTGTAGGTTCAGTGGATTGTCAGTGGCCTCAACCTCACAGGATTAGACTTTCTTTCCATAACCGTAAATTTTAGCATCTACAGTCCCTATCTAACTCCACTGGTGGTAGAACTCACCATTTAATAATGCATCAAATTGTAGACAACACAAATATATATATATATATATAGATAATAGATTCACTCATTCATCTCCAAGGGTGGAGGTAAATTAAGTTTCTCAAACTCAAGTTCTAGTGTTTTAAGGTCATTATGGCCGCAGCTGGCTCTCAGGTATCGCTTCCTGGTTCATTTTAGGTCTGTTAATCACATGGGGGGTGTTGCTTCTCGAGCTGAGGCAAGGGCGTTCTTCGTGTCGGTGATTCGCTTGTCGATAATGGCAACAATAACTAACTCGCCACTACTGCACGAGCTGATTCATACCCGTATGGCATTGACTATCCTAATCATCGACCAACTGGTCGTTTCTCCAATGGATTAACATTCCCGATCTTATCGTAAGTTTATCATAAGAGAAAGACTTGGCCGGAGACAGATTATATAGTGTTTATTATAGTAGTATGTGATAGTTATATTATGTTGACATGTTTTATCATGATCAGGTGAGCAAATTGGCATGGACCCCCATTGCCATACTTGAGCCCAGCACTCACTGGAGAGAGGCTTCTCGTCGGTGCAAACTTTGCTTCTGCAGGGATCGGAATTCTCCATGACACTGGAATCCAATTTGTAAATGAAACTTATTCATTCACTTTAGTTTTCCCCTACAAGAACATTCAGTTATAAACAATTCATTTGACTTTGCAGCTGAATATTATCCGAATCACCAGGCAGTTGCAGTATTTTGAGCAATACCAGCAGCGAGTCAGTGCACTTATTGGAGCTGAGCAGACTCAACGACTGGTAAACGAAGCCCTTGTCCTCATCACACTTGGCGGCAATGACTTCGTCAACAACTACTATTTGGGCCCTTTCTGACGATCCCGCCAGTTTTCTCTACCGATTACGTTGTGTATCTTATTTCTGAGTACCGCAAAATCTTACAGGTATTTTAATTTACTATCCTTGGTACAAACAACACTCAAGCTACTACCATGTTTGTACGTTATGTATTTTATTTTTGGGTTCTTTTTATATAATTAAGTAATTATCATCGGAGTTTTTTCATTTAATGGTCACGAAACAGAAGAAAATAAACATTATAATAATGATGTGGGGACGTATTTATGATGGATTGATAAGATTTGCTTTCTAGTTTGTGATGATAGAGTGAGTTATTACAGGATTTGCTTGGTTGGTGAGGCCAACAGGGACTTTGCTGTTTCGTTCAGAAGCCATTTATAACTTCACGAATCAGAATTTCCTTATTAAAAAGCCTTAATCAATGAGATCCACATCAATTCTAATTACTTAAAAATAGCCTCAAAAACATTCAACATCATATATATAGATATATATACTAATTAAGAAAACAACTATTACAATCTTAATTACTTTATATTAAACTGCTACTTCTGACAATGCAGAGGCTGTATGAATTAGGAGCACGTCGGGTTTTGGTCACGGGAACTGGGCCATTGGGTTGTGTCCCTGCGGAGCTGGCTATGCATAGCAGAAATGGTGAATGTTCAGTGGAATTGGAACGAGCAGCTGGCTTGTTTAACCCACAACTTGTCCAACTGATAAACAATCTCAACAGCGAAATCGGATCAGATATTTTCGTTGCTGCAAATGCTTTTGATATGCACATGGACTTCATCAGTAACCCTCAAGCATATGGTAAGTCAATCAGTCATATCTTCACATGAGTTAATAGATGCAACTACCCGATTGACAATAACATGACAGAATGATGAAAACAGATATATTGAGTAAATGCCCTTTATTGATGTCTCGTCATTGGTCCTCTGGCATTTATTGATGCTAGATTTGGACCCAGAATTGTCTAATTAGGATTAGGAAGATTGATTAGCTGAAGTGAGATGCATGTTAATTTTGAAATATGGTAAATTTTTCACAGGGTTTGTGACATCAAAGATAGCGTGTTGCGGACAAGGACCCTACAATGGCATTGGCCTCTGCACAATCGCCTCAAACTTGTGCCCCAACAGAGATTTGTATGCATTTTGGGATCCATTTCATCCATCAGAGAAGGGCAACAGAATTATCGTACAGCAGATCATGACTGGATCCACCCAGTATATGCATCCGATGAATCTCAGCACCATTATGGCTTTGGATTCCAGGGTTTAAGAGATTATATTATATGGTTACGATATTGTCTTCTATAAATATGGTAGTGTTGCTGCTTATTCTTCATTGCTGTGTCTTAGTTTGGTTTGTTTGTGGTGAAATGTTTAATTAGTTTTGATGTGGCTTGAATTTGTCTGCAGTATTAGCAAGCATTTGTGGGATTCTTCAATCAAATAATATAGCTTGACATTTGTAATGGTCATCAAGTGGGCAGATTGTTGTTCATCTTTACGTTTGTAATCTAAGCGTTATGAGTTTAATTTCATTTTCCCTTTGGCCATTCCTGTGTTCCACTTCTATTCTTTTATATTTGTTATCTTCTAATATTATGTGAAGAATTTATCAAGATTCAGATTCAAGATTTCAAAAGTTTGACATGTTTTTTAAGATGTTTATACAACAGAGCTTTTATCCTAATATGATAAAATTTATTATCACCTTATTAAAAAATAGCCATGAAAATTCTTCGAAATCAATGACTTGAGATAGATGAAGATATCTCTCCTATGGCGAGATGACAAACCCTTTAACTACTAGGTTAGTTATATCTAAAGGGTTTTGTGTTTGAGTTATAAGAGAGGTATTCAACACATCTGTGTTATTACTTTGGTCCATTAAGCTTAGGGTGTTCCATGACTATGAGAATTAGACAGACTCTAATGTAGGCCTAGATACTCCAGTTACCTTGAAAAAAAAAAAAAAAAAAATGGATGGAGATATGAATTCTACATATATTTTGCTTTAAGTTTTCTTACAAAAACACAAACTTAGATGGGCCAAACTTCAGCACCTGAAAAGCAGAGGTCCATATCGTTAGCTAGATTTGAGAACTTCATCGATGGGCTATATATTGTTACCCAATTTTTTATTGAGCTCAGTATAAGAAGTATGAAGACATGGGTGTTGGCAAAAAAAAGCAAGAAGTAGTATAAGTGAGCGTGACAATTAAGAGTCCCAAAACACCTTAAGCCTCCAATTTGTAGGAATCTCAAACGCATCCAATGGAGAGACTTGTTATTTCCGTCTAGTTTCAATAGCTTCTCAACAGTGTCGTATAATACTGATTGGCCTTACACGTCTCTCTTGTCGCCGGCAGATATTTTCATTGGTATTCATTTCTATGCTAATATTCCTTGTAACTCTTGCTTTATATAATGCGATATATTAAAACAAGATCTCTTCATCAATTCTTTTATTATTCCAACAACAATGCAGTTTTGTTTTTTAATTGTTTCTGTGGTCTTGTTCCATATCAACTTTGGGGCTCCCCTACATATAAATACAACTATTCCCAACAAGCAATTCCCTTTCTCACTATTCCCTTTTTTTTTCACAGTGCAAACATCTCTCTCTTTTACTCCGCGGTTATACAGTAAAATATATTTCGATGGCGGTTTGCATCAAAGCAGAAGATGTTGACAGTGATGCAACACCAGAACGCCCCACCACAAAACCAGCAAATACAAACGCTACATTGGCTGAAATTTTGGTGCCAAGAGGGTCACCCGGCTGCCTGAGTTCTGATAGGCATGTTGTAATCGTGATGGACGCATTGAAGCAATTCTCTTGGGGGCCTCTCCAATGGACACTCGACCATGTCATTCCATCTAATTGCACCGTTACTCTCCTCGGTGTCATGCCTTGGATTCCCCTCGCATGTAGGAATCTTAATTTTTCTTGCTAGTTTTATAGAGAAGTTTGCAGATTAACACATATTTTCGTCGTTTTCATGCTGAGTTTTGATGCTTTCTTTTTTTATTTTTTTATTTTGAGAAAGTGTCATGCAAGACAAGGATTTGGACGTATGACTTTGGCAATTTGTTAGCATTCAAATCTAGAAGCGAATGGAATAACGAAGAGACTCGTGGGATAATTGAGCTGTGTGAACAAAAAGGGGTTCGTATTCTTTTTTCCGAGCAATCTCTGTGGAAAATTAACGTTCATGGAGGAAAGATTATTCATTTCCGGTATATTATTTATTTTATGTATAACTTTATATGAATATCATTCCCATCCCATCCCATGCAGGTGGTTCCCTTTATGCAATTGGCCATGGGACATCCGTTGAAGCTTGTTGTTCTTGAGAAAACTACAAACCTTCATGCTAACCTAGTGGTTCTCGATAGGTACATGTCCTTGTGAACACTAGCTACTTAAAATTTCAAATTAATGGATGCCATATATATAGAATAATTTTTTAATTAGGACATTTTTATCTGTAAAATACATTCTGAAAAAGAAAAAGTGGACATTCTTTAGAGAAAAGAACTACATATAGCATGAACATCCTTGGCTTTAAAAACCAATATCACATTAGTTGGTGTTATTTAACTGTTTAGAAAACAATTTTGACTAAATTTCTTGCTTGCTTTGAACAAAATCAACTTGAAGGTTTGTTCAATAATAAAGGAAGAATTGAAACATATTGTCAAGGAACTAAGGTGAGTACTGAGAAAATGTGTAAATGTTTCGACAGACACATGAGAAAGAACAAAGGATTCTATGCGGAAAGGTTGCCGAGCAGCGTAGTGGTGATGAATAACGATGGAGGGGTTGATATTATAAGAATCCAGTCCACCATATATACCTGTGATTCATCTCCTGAACAAGAATCTCCATCTCCGGCCACTCCACCACCAACTAAGCTTATTCTCTCAGAAGCATTGTCTGAACTTCTCCAACACAAAGACATCGACCCTCAAAAACCTGTTAATAAGTGTTGGAAAAATGGCTCATTTAGCAAAATCCCTCATGGGGTAGAAGTAAAAATAGAGAAAGGTTTAGGGACTTATATAAAATAGGCCAAAAGTTAGTATGTCCCATATTGCTTAGAAATGAAAGTAGAGGAACTTTTGGGGCCTATATATAAAGACTCAAGACATAGTAATAAGCATAACAAATTGTATTTACATTACACCCCTCTTGTTAGGGTTCTTTCATTAAAGACCCTTTAGTTGAAAAGTTTTGTTGTATCTCCTCTTTGTTTTCGGTAATTGTTTTAATGCCCATATAGTTTGGGTATTTGTAGTACTGCCCAAAAAGTTGTAATATTATTTGGAGATAGTGGAGTTTTCTTTTGTAGCGCCCGAAGACGTAGGTTATAATACCGAACCTCGTTAATTCTTGGTATTCTTTATTTTTACATTTAATTTTCTCCATTTATTTCTGCTTTAGTAGTTGTTATTATTATATTTAAATAGCTAGCATTAAGTTTATGTTTCCAATGCATAACAATAAGAACTTATGGACTGCTGATAGTCTCTTTGCTAGAACAAGAAAAGAAATAGGGCTCTTTTTTGGGGAGGCCATGCAAAACACACTCAAAATATTGCCGTAAAATTAATGTAGAAATGTATGTATAATTTGTTTGCTATTATATAATTAATGTATATATATATTGCTCACAATGTATTCTGAGGATCGATGTCTTTATATATAAAATATATCAATAAGCTCGAGATCTAGGAATTAATGCGCTCTTTACACACACACACACACACACACACACACACACACACACACATATATATATTTGGTGTGTGATTTTTCTATTAAGTTCGGAGAAGTCAAAATTCCGCGAGGTTATAGTTCGACCCAGAATAAGTTCGGTTTAACACTTGTCCAACCTAGCATAAGCTTGTCAAGATATAGCTCGACCCAGCATAATCTAGTTGCGACCAATCTCAACAATTGTTCAAGCAAGTCACAGATGAGCACAAATCCCAAATATTTTGGAAGAGATCAGATCAACAATAATGATAGCGCGATCTTAGCTCTCAGTCGCGAGAATATCAGAATTGCATTTCAATCTTAATTGTAAATCCTTTAATTTCGCTCTTTCCTTTCTAAAAAACTTGTATATAAACCCCTTCCAACGATGGAACAAGGGTTAGCAAATTGTAATAGGCATTATACTATTTCCTTGTAAGCTGTCAAAGCAAATAAGAAAAACAGTGGACGTAGGCTCAAGTTCTAACTTGCCGAACCATTAAAAAAATTATTCATTGTTCTTTACTTTTCTGCATTCAAATTCATCACATTGCTGGTTATTTTTAATCACGCACACATCGGTTTCGATTCCATCAAGATCAATTGGATCACTCTAGTTGATGTAAATCTTGTATCAACATTTTGGCGCTAGAAGGAAGGTCTCCACCTACTTTCAAAATTTTCGGCAAGTAATTTCAGTGACCCAATCACCTGAAGTGTCAAATGGCCCGTACTAGATCAAAAACCACCACTAGAAACCACGACAACGTGGAAATCGCTAATTAGGAGGTGCAGCAAACTGCTCCTTTAGGTCGACCGCTAGGGCAACAAGCCGCAAATCACCAAGGAGTAAGGACTTCAAATCCTGAAAAATGGCTAGCTGATGGAGATGATAAGGACGATGGTTGCGTAGGCGATGTAACAGAATGTGGTTAAGTTGAGAAATCAATAACTGGCCCAGCAGGACCTTGATCAGCTACGCTTCATGGAGGTTACTTCAATGGGTCACAATGGCTCGATCGATGACCAATTTGCTCATCGACACCAAGGAGCGACCGTAACCCTCAACACTGCAGGGAGCATTCCGCTCATGAGCACGAATCCCGCGGGCAAATTAACCTCGAGAGGCCACTAGGCAAAAAGCCTGTGGGGGAGAATGAAAACCATGGTCGACAAAAGGATGCTCGCCCAACTCGGCGACACACCTACGCCAAAGGTGGGCTCAAGCCCGTAAGCTTGCGAGATGAGCCTCGTGTGCCAATCTGGCAATGACTGACGTTTTGGTTTTAACCAATGTCACGAGTAGCGCACAAATGAGCATGATAGTACTTATCGACCAAGCTATCGTGAGTCCACCTCGTGCACTAATGCACATGATAGAACATGATCATAAGCAGCTGATCTCTAGACTTACCTGCTTAAGGTAAGGCTGAATAGAGCTCGCAACCAAAATACTACTCATAATAAGGACTTAATCGGGTATAGAGAATGTTCGACGATCTAAGAGTCCATTAGAATAATTCGGCGGAAGAGATAGTGAGTTCTTCGTTCACGGAGGAAGTTTGTCAGGCCCCACTTCCCTAGGGATTCAGGACACCAGAGAGTAAGTTCGACGGGAAAGGGGATCCTAGAGATCACCTTGATTCTTTCAACGACCTGATGAAGCTACATCAGGTCTTCGACTTGGCAAAGTGCCACTGTTTCATAGTCACTTTAGTAGGGGATGCCAAGAGGTGGTACAAAAGGCTCAAGGCGAACATAATACACTCTTGGCAACAATTCTTCTCATTGTACTTGCAACAATTCCAAGTGAGAAGATGGTTCACAATGACGCTCAGCTATCTAAGTAACATTCATCAAGAAAGAGATGAAACTCTGACCTTGTACTTAACGAGGTTCCAGAATGAGCAAGCAAAGGTCACAGATGCACATGAGGAATCAATACAGACTTTGCTAATAGCAGGAATAAGGCGGCAAACGGAGCTATGGAAAGAGCTTCAAAATGAAGACCATGTGAGCCTGGCTAAGTTCTATCAAATGGCCGCCAAACATCAGCGGGTAGAAAGCTCGTTGGCGACCTTTAGCCAGGAACTCACCTAGAAGAGCAATTGAAAGGCGATAAGATAACCCGACAGACAAATGGAGGGGCCAAGATCGTAGTGATAGAGACTAGAATAGGTTCCAAAAAAGACAGAAAACAGATAATCAGGGGAAAAAGAAACCTTTTCCATGATATGTGGAGTACACTCTCTTGACACAAGATGTAGCTCACATCTATGAAGTCTCCTGTGAGGCTGGAAGACTGCCCGCACCGTAAAGAATGAGGGGGGCACCAGGAAGATGGGATCACCAAAAATACTGTTGGTACCTTTGAGACATCAAGCATAATACTAATGAATGTTGGGCTATGAAAGACGCCATCGAGGATCTGATAAAAAGGGGCCACTTGAAAGAGCTTGTCAAGGAGGAGCCAGCTTGCGAAAATCCAAGCCAGTAGAGTAATTAGATCTATCAAACCCAACCAAACAATGATGTACTAGTGGGTATGATCTACAGGGGACCCAACATTGCAGGGAGCTCCAAGCACTCTTGTGAGCAATATGCGTGGGAGGCCAGGACAAACTCAGTTCCTTGGGTACTGAGCTGTGAGAAAAAGCCACTGAACGGCCCAGGCAAGAAAGCAAGGTGATAGGATTCACTAAAGAAGAGTGTGATTAGTCTCCTCGCCACAACCATGATGTGATCATAATCGCAGCAAGTATCAACAATGCCTGAGTACATAGGGTAATGGTCAATAATGGCAGCACAACAAACATTATCTTTTTGGGAGCATCACGAGAAATGGGGTTCACGGAACGAGACCAAAGGGAATGTCCGTTGCCACTATACAGATTCACTGGGGATAGCTTGGTCCCTAAGGTAACAATTGAGGTGCCTGTGACTCTTGGAAAAGAGTCTTAGATAAGGACAGTGTAATGTCATTGTGGGGAGGCTGATCCTGGATGACCAAAGCATAATTACCTTAATGCGCTGCCAAACAATGAGATTCCCAACCCCATGCAGGGTCACAACAATTAGGAGTTGTAGGAAAGATTCTCGGGAATGTTATAATTGGGCCATTCGTGTTGCACAAAAGTGGCCACTCTCGAGGACCATGGGCATTGTTAAGTCCAAGCCTTGGAGGACACCATAGATCCTCGCATCTACAAAGAAGAGTCTGTAACAGGGTCTACAGAAGAGTTGTGAGAAGTACCTGTTAGCAAGAAAGACCTAACTCGCGTGCTAAAAATTGGGAGCAATTTGAGTGACAGGCTGGCAAACAGTTTAGTGGGGTTCCTAAAGAAAAACCTCGACGTGTCCGCTTGGGTACATACGGACATGATGGGTAAGACTGCTCAATAAGGCAAGCTGCTCGCGAGTTAGCTCGACTCGAGTAAGGCTCGTTAATGGCTCACCTCATCTAGAATCAAGCCGGCTCAACTCGATTCGTGAGAGAGACAAGCCAAGTTCGAGCCTCCCTTGGTTCGACTTGTTAGGCTCGCGAGCCGAGCTAGACTCAAATTATTAGGTTTGTTTTAGGGGTTTTATAAAGTATGGGGGATTAAACTAAAATTATCAAAACAAAAGTTTGTAAAAATGACAAAGTACCCCCCCGATGTTAAAATCCCTAAAAATGCTACTAAAACCCTTTGCTGTAAAACCAAACCAAATCAAACTATTTGAGAAACAGGAGCTATTAGAGAGAGAAAAGAAGAGAAAACAAAGGAGTAATAAGTAACAAAAAGAGAAGAAGAAGATGGGTTAAAAAGAAAAGAAAAGAAAAAGGTTAGGGGAAAGTTAAAAGAAAATAAGTCGAATTTTCTTTTCAATTTGGAACATGGGTTTTGTTACCAAAAGAGAGATTAGAAAGCAAAAGAAAATCTAAAACCCTAGAACAAAAGGGTAATGAGAATAGCTTCAGAGTTGGTGGAGAGAGCCAGAGAAACAAGGAGAAAGAAAGAAAGAGAAAATAAAAGAAATGGAGAAAAGAAGAGACAGCAAAGGAGTAATTTAGTTAGAGATAGAAAAGAAGAGATAATAGCATTAAATGAGAGAGAGAGAAAAGAAGAGAAAGAAAGGAGTAATAAATTAGAGGGAGAGAAAAGAAGAGAAAGCAGTAATAAATGAGAAAGAGAAAAGAAGTAATAAATTAGAGAGAGAAGAATCTGCTTTGATTTTTTTTTTTTTTTTAAAATAGCATTTTTTTACTATTGGCTCGCGAGCCAACTCTAATTCAGCTCGTTAAGCTGGCTCGCGAGCTAGGCTCGAAATCCTCTTCTCTTTTTACGAGCCGAGCTAAGCCAAGAATCATCGGCTTGGCTCAACTTAACTTGAATTTTCCTCCTTTTTCACGAGCTGAGCTCATTAAGCCAAAAACTCAACTCGGCTTGGCTCGAAAATAGCCTTAATGGTGGGGATTAGCCCTAAGGTAATGTACCACAAACTGAACGTCGACTTAGGGGCTTGAGCCATA